ACATTTATATAATTCACATAATGGAATGTTATGGTACTCGCTTTTAATACTTTAAAAATAAACTATTATAAATAATTGTCTATTAAATAAATAAAATATTTTATAATTATAATTTGTATTAAATATACATTGAAATAATTTTAAATTAATACTAATTTGAATAAAAGTTAGTTGGATGCAAAATAAAATTCTAAAAAGTGAACTTTGCTAACCATTAAACATCATATACTAAATATATTACGTTTTGTTACAATATAGTTACAATTTTACTTGAATAAATATTTATTATGGTTAAGTAAAATAATATGTATTTTGAATACAATTTTTTTTATAAAATTTCTAAAACCGCAATCTAAGCATACTATATATTTTGTAATTTTAACTACATTAAGAATACAAAAATTTAATAATATAATTGTTTTAGTCTTAAAATAGATGATAAAATATTAACTACGTTTGGTGAGAGGATAGGTTTATAAAATAAATGTAACGATTGCAAAACGTATAGCTAAAAAGGGACCACTAAATATAATTAAAAAATATATTACATATCTTTTAGTAATTTAACACACGTAGTATTTAGGTATTTATAGGTATGTTTATTAAACAATTTTCTAGTGCCGTAATGCATTGTTATGCATAATTATAATGACACAAATATGCATTTACATTAGGTTTTAAGTATGGAAATAAAATTCCACTGAAACAAATAATAGCTACTGGTGAATAGGTACATAAAAAAAAATATATAATAGGAATAGTATGTAAGACACAATAGATCAATAAATTACACGATAGAAATTGAACTGGATTCTAAAACAACAATATTTAAATCTTTAACAGATCACTGATAAAAGTCTATTGACACATAAGAAAAAAATAGCATTTATTAATATATAAATTGTAAATAACAATAAATAATTAGTTATATTATGTTGCTTTGTTCTTTAAATTTGTTTAAGTTCAGTCTTTGATTTTCGTATACTAGCTCTAATTTTCCGTTAGATCTAGTTGTTAAAAATCAGCTGTGTGAGCCCAAGTTGTGTAAATTGAGTTTCGTAAATTGCACTAAGAATAAAACCTTTTAAAAAAAATCCGAATGACTTCGCACGTCGTTGGGAAGATTGGAAAGGTAGAAGAGTGGAAATTGTGAACAGAGTATATATCTAAAATCTGAAAATAAATCTGGGCCAGAAATTTATTAAAAATAAAATCTAACAATATTTTGGAAAAAAAATGTATTCGCTGACATTTGTGAAATGCATATCATACAAATATAACTCAGTTCAATCGCGAGTACAATATTTTGAATACCTGTACTATTTTTATTATTAATTTATATGTATTTATTTTAATTGTATTAATTATAATGTGTTAATATCATAATTTTTTACATTAATGTTTCTCCACATTCTAGTCACCCTTAAATTTAAGAACTTTTAATATTTTAAATGATCAATTGTAATAAATAGATTATTTTTCCGAATAATATGAAAATTCATATTGTATATAATATTCATTAAATTGGGAATAATACAAAAAATGTAAGTTTATTTCAAGTTAATGTAGAGGCAAATGAGTTAAGTTAAAGTTAAGTTAATTAAAATATCAAACTAGTAAGCTAAATGAATAAGTTGAAATAAACTTAACTTTCAACTTATTAACTCGTCAATGCCCAGCCTTGCCAATATCTTGCCTTGCCAAATTATTCATTCCGCTAAAAATCTTACGACTTCATCATATCAAATAAAAAAATACCACAAAATATATTATTATGTACAATTAAATATAATATAAAATAGAAACAGTAAATAAAATAATCGCGTTTACCGAAATTNACTAAAAAAATGTCATTAGATAAATTTATTAGTCCCATGAGTTTTTTTGATATATTTATACCTTAGTTGACGTTAAAAAAAATCAAAAACATCGTACTGTCACTAACGTTTAATTAATATACAACTCGTTTGAGAACATAAAAATTATAGTAAACTCTTGAAACGTTAATGTTTTCACGGAATTACTTTAATTTAATCATTACTATCACTTAATGCTGACAATGTACGTTTCATAAAATAATGGAAAATTTTAGGTTGGCCTTAAATTCTTCGAAATCGGTTTTCCTAATCACTCCTTATCGTTTTTTCGGAAACTGGTATCACTTTCCAGTATTGTAACTTCCAGTATTATCAGACACTTGCCAACTCCCGTCGCCGTGATTAACGGCCACTTGTTGGACGAGGTGCTCGGACGGTGTCTTGAGATCGTACGCCCAGCCCAAACCGGCGAAAAAGTCTAGCCACATCGTAGTAGTGTTCAGCAAATATCCGCCGATTTCGGCCGCTCTGTAGTCCCATGGGAACACGTGATGATAGTTATGCCAGCCCTCACCCAGGGATAGTACTGACACGATTAAATTTTGCACCGGCTGAATGCGCCTGTGCAGCAGAAAAAATAATTTTAGTAAATAGTTCTAAAAACAGTATGCCCCCACGAAGGCATAGATAACCATTGTAATATCTCCGGAGATAATAATTGTAATCACATTGTTTTATATATGTATATATTACTGACAGGGATAAAGATTACAAACATTTAAATTTGCATTAAATTTTTATGTTTTTGTAAAAAAATAACTTTATAATTTTATTATTTTCTAAAAGACAACACTTTTAAAGGAGAGTTTATTATTATTCATTTATTATTTCTATTCGTAGGTTTTTCGTAATAATATTAAAAGAAAAAAAAGTGTACAGTCATTATTAGTTATAATAATAATAATTATTTTATATTAATTAGTATTACGATTACCTATAATTATATGCGGCAAGCTGTAATTGTATTTTATAATTGAACGTTATTTTTATTATTATTGGTAATTAACTGTAGACTTTTTTTTTCTCTGGACTTTAAAAAATTATTTAAAAACACCAAATTTTCAATTATAATAAAACGAAAAGTTATTAGTTATTACCAAAACATAATAATGTAATTCAAATACACATATCTTTAGTCCTTATCCCCGTAAGTAATGTAATAAAACAAAATTTGATTATCTTTATCATCTCAGGAGATCTTGCAATGGGCATATCTTCATGGAACACTATCTATCATAATAACATAGGACGGAGATACTTCGCACGTAGTTGCAGCCACTGTTATGGATGGGAAGTTTGGAAGATAGGATACAGACGAAATTTAATGTATATCTGTAAGCAACGATAACCCATTGCTAACGTAAAAACCATTCTGAGTAGACTTCGGTTGATAATGTTACTTTGTCAATAATATCATATATAATGGTACATGTCCTATTATGGTAAAATGATTACAACAATATGCGATTCCATGACAACAATGAATGTTTAAAAAATATTAAAATAATAAACACTTAATAATAACAAAAAATAAATAAAAATGGTTGCCTTTGACAACTTTATTTTTAATATTTTAATCTTTTTTAATTTAAAAAACCAATTTTTTCTCATTAACTCGAATATCAATGAGAATATCAGAATATCTCTCGCTTCGCTCCGAATCTAAAACCGGAGAAAATCGGAGAAATTAACCAAAATGTTTAGGTTTTTTGTCAGTGGTACGTGTCATAGTTAAAGCAATTAAGCAGAGATATGCGAAAAATCAAAAATAATCAGAAAAACTAGAAAATATCAATTTGTTTAAAAACAACCGAAATAAGCTTAAAAAAATCAATTTCAATTTTCATGTTTGAGATCGTTGTAACATGACATGGGTTTCCATAGCATTCAGCTAGATTTTATGATAAGTCGTAAAAATAAGCAAACGTTTGAAGTCCCGAACCATGATTATTACAATAGGCTACATACTTGTCGTACGGCTTGTGTCCCCAAATGTGAGCCACACTGTTTACGGACCACGTGACATTCAAGTTATACACGTACCGCAGAAAACCGGCTACGAATACGGATACGATAAAGTTTTCGGTCCATGCTAACACCGGTATCGCTATCGGCAAGATAAAACACAATAGTAACTTGAGCAGCGTAAAGTATCTAAATAAAAAAAATATAATAAAAGAAATATTTTATCAAAATGTTTTCAATTCTTAGGAAACGATTACCGATTAATTAAATGTATCTAGTGGTAAATAATAATGACCAACAGTATAGTATTATACTTAATAATATTGATAATCTCTAATATACAGAATTAGTAATAACATTATAATTTACTATTCGCCCAATGTTGAATTTTCTATCTATTATTATAATAGTCTTAATTGTCTGCTGTCATTGCGGAAACTACAACATTTACTAGACTCTGTCCAACATTGATTAATAACATTATAATATTGTACTTAATAATTACTATTCTCATTTTATACTAGTAATTATATTATAATTTACAGTTCACTAATGTCCTCTATATAATCATAATTTCCCGATAATTGTCAACCGTAATATTTAGATATTCCAATAATACGCATTTTTCTCACATAATATATTTTGTTTTACTTTGTATGGAATCGTATCACGGGATCGTTGGTGATGTCGGACATGTCGACGGTCCTTCCGCGTTTAGAAACCTCTGGGTGTTTCCGTTGCATCAGCCAACCGACGTGCGAGAAGAAAAAACCTCTACTCGCGTTGTGTGGATCGGCATTCGTTTCACTGAACTTGTGATGCACCCGGTGATCGCGGACCCAGTCCGGTACAGTGTTCTGCATAGCGGTAACGTATTATAACGCGAAAAATCAAAATCAAACGAACGAAATCATATCGAAAACCGGAAAATAAAATAATACCTGTCCCGACACTGTATAACACGCAAGGAGTAGAATTTGCAGTGGTATTTTCGCTTTGAACGACCTATGCGTGAAATACCTGTGTACCCCGCCAGTAACACCGAATCCTCCGATACCGGCGACTATATAAGCTGCAAACAAAATTATATTTTATCGGAGCGACGGAGAATAATCAAATTTGGACAGTATCACAGGTATTGTGTATGTATCACCATTGATTCAACGGTCAATGATTCAATTATATTTCATATTCTACGTCGACATACTTTTTATCACGGTATCAATAGTGTAGGCACTTAGGAGGAGAAAGATTAGGAATATATAGTTTCCATCCTGTTTCCTATATCCTACCCTATATCTATTATCCTAATGACTGTCAAATTAGATTCTGAGTGTAACGAAGAATTTATTAGTTTTCCTATGATATATGCATTGCTATGATATTTTATTTTCTGTTAAATTGTTCTCAATAATTATGAAAAACCTGGAATAAATTGCAAAAACAATAAATTTCCATTATTAAAACACATGCTAGTCAAAATTCACATCCAGAAATATGGTTATCTTGAAAATCGGAGAAATATTTAATGTAGAATTATAGGTAGTTGTTTACAGACAGACAAAAAACACATTATAATATAACTAATATATTCCTCACTGCGCTCAGAATCTAAAACTAGGAAGATTTGTTTAGACTTTGTTTAAGTATTTTAGATAGAGGGGATTTTCAAATGTTAACTAATTTTTCCTCTTGCTTGAACTTCGATAATTACTATCAATGCCTAAATAGTAAATACACTGAATAATTTTTAATGGAGATTTATAAATATTTAACAGTTAAATATAAAATATAAATTAATAATTTAATTTTTTTTTATCGTGGGTTACTGGGTTACGCGATATAGCTTAATTGTATTGCTCATACTGTTATGACACAATTACTCACAATTACATCTATACTCAACAATTCCCTTCATTGCGAAATCTTAAATATACCTCTGTACCATATCGAGTATTTTGTTACACTAAAAGATACAAGATATCTAAAAATTATTTGACATGATTAAAAAAAAAAAATTAAAATAATGCAAAACCAAAGAGCTTGTACGTTTCAATTGTTTTAAACGTTTAAATTTATGAATTAATAATTAATTAATTAATTAATAGTTAATAAATTATGTCTAATGCAAAACGTGCATCCTTATGTACTATGTGAAACCCGCTCACCAAAAATTATCGTTTGATATTTAGCGGTGGGCAAATAAAATAAACCTCTGACGGCCAGACCATGAAGAATCACAATATATAAGACATTCGACCAAATGATTTTGGACTTGCTGTACGGCAACCGAGATAATTCTTCTTCGGCCATAGTGCTTTTCTTTCGTTTTCGAACCATGTCTTCCGTCAGGACTGTTCGGTGTTTCCCGAGTGTCGCATCGGTCTCGGCTTGAGTCGTTGTCCCCGCACCTGTCTGGATCATTATACCACTAAAAAATCAAAACCTAGGGGTTAAAAAGAATCGATTTGGACTTGCAGATTCTGCAGTATGTTCTAATTATTTTAGAATACAGTCGAAACAAGTAAAAAAAAACAAGCTTAAAATTTGTTTTAAGCATCATGGATTCCAAATGTAAAATTATCATAATATTTCATATTTAAAACATTTTAGATTTGTAATGCTATTTTCCAAATGTTGGTATTATTTTTTCTCGGTAATATTATGCGTCAAAGGATTGGATTGCATCATTTATTTAAACTCTAAATGTATAAAAAACGAATAACTTTCAATCGCTTTAAGTATAAATTATTTTGTGTTTTTCATACAATTTTTTAAACTCGTATGCAAATAATACAAAACGGTTGTCACTTAGGCAGGTGACACATATGGAAAATTTGTTTTACACAGTTAATCACACGAAACATATTTCATAGTCAATACACACAGAATAAATTTATTTTATAAATATTTGTTTTGTACTCCATTTTATACAGCTCATTTTAACTTCATTTCTATAGTTTAATCGGTCTAAATATGTCGTCTGATGATAACATTTGACATTGATCTGTAGTAGTTAAATCAAAGGAAGATAATAAATAAAAAAAAGGTGACATTAACCACTTAAAAGTAACCTAACCTAACCGAATATAAAACCATGTATAAAGTCTCAAGTGTTTAATTTCCACGGTGAACCTTGAGATGATTTTGAGACTTTAATGTTTTTTTTTGAGTAAGATTACCTTTTAGATTCTGAGTATATCGAAGAATGTATTAGTTTTACAAAGATTTTTTTTTTTTTTTGATTTTTTTGTGTCATGAACAGTCTTACAATAATATCATATTATTTATTGATATTCGTAATAATACATTATTTTTTGAAAATAATTTTCTGGTTTCTGTTTGAAAATCAAAAGTAGGTCACTACCTAGTGGTAGTGCTTACCAAAAGTAAGAGTTATGGAAAAAAACATAAATGTGAAATTTTAGAACTGCTTGTTTCTTGAATGTTCTATAAAACAAATTCTGAAAAATTTAATACTTTCCAAGATAATGAGCGTACCCATTTAAATGGAACAGTCGCTTGTGAACAATATCTATTTAAACATTTACATATTTTTATAGTAAATTGTCCTAACTAAATGTAAAAACGATGACATCTGTGAACTCATAGCGTTTTAACTGCGAAATTTTGACGAGTTACCCGATTCAATATTGTTAGGCGTCAACTATAAAAGAGCCCACAATAAAAAATTCTGGGCATATTATTTATTATTCCATTGACCAGTTATGATTTATCTTTAATTCATAAAAATATACACCATGCCCGAGCATCTGTAATTCCCAAGCTGCTAAAATAATGTATTAGATTTACATAATTCATTGAAAGAAAATATCAAAAGTAATCAAGGTGAAAAGTTTCTATTTGTTAACAACTATGAGGATAATAAACAAGTTTTTCAACAATTATTAATTTGAAGTTTTTAAGTCAACTTGATACAATACTAATTGATGGAACATGGAACTTTTAAGTTCTCCTAAGTTATTTACACAATTTTTCACGATTCACGATTAATCAAATGGAAATTATAGACCATTAGTTTTCTTTTTATTAATTAACAAAAATGTAGAAACTTACAAGAGAGCATTTCTTCATCCGAATTCAGAATGTATAAAAAATATAATTCATTTTTTACCGAAAATTCACTAGGCAGTATTATTTGTTTGACTATCCGTCAAATCAAAAGGATGCCAATTCTATTTGGGCCAGAGTTGATGGAGAAAAATTCAAGCTCTATAAGTTTGAGTAATGAATATAAGCTAAAATCATAAATAAGTAATTACTTCAAAATACTTTTTGGTCTCTCCTTTTTGAAACCTGAAGATGTAGAATACCATTTTACTGTATATCAATTTTATCACAAAATCAAATCGTACAAACATTTACAGATTATATTTTAAACACGTATATAGCCTCCAATTGCGAACTTTCTTTCTTCTTTATGGGCAATGTATTCAAGTTCAATTACACGGACAACAAATATATCTGAAGATTTCCATTCAAAATTTAACTGTGTTTTTTCTGCTCGTTCAAATATCTACAAATGTATTGGTGAACTTAAAAACGTACAATAAAATACTTACATCAAATTTCGTAGTAGTGTTGAAATAAAGAAATTAAGACGTCAAATATGTGAAAAATAAGAATTTTTAAATAAACCAATGATTAAATACGACACGCGACATGAACGAAATAACACATTTTGATTATATCAAAATTGTATCAATCAAATTTTTACCCAACTATAAATAATAATAGTATAACATACTAATAACATTTTAATATAATAATACATTAACCTAATCTTGCCTATATTTTTTTTATTATTATAATTATAAATCATTTTTTTTTAATTAGTTAATAATAAATTAACGACGAAAACAATACATTTGATGTACATAATCACGAAACGATGGAAAACAATATGTTTAACCTACCTCTAGTAATATAATGTTTTATGTTTCTATTGTCAAACCTAATTCTTTATTAAATAGGAAAGAAAATAATGTATTTATATCGGACGTAANGTATTGGTGAACTTAAAAACGTACAATAAAATACTTACATCAAATTTCGTAGTAGTGTTGAAATAAAGAAATTAAGACGTCAAATATGTGAAAAATAAGAATTTTTAAAAAAACCAATGATTAAATACGACACGCGACATGAACGAAATAACACATTTTGATTATATCATTAAATCATTTTTTTTTTAATTAGTTAATAATAAATTAACGACGAAAACAATATATTTGATGTACATAATCACGAAACGATGGAAAACAATATGTTTCACCTACCTCTAGTAATATAATGTTTTATGTTTCTATTGTCAAACCTAATTCTTTATTAAATAGGAAGGAAAATAATGTATTTATATCGGACGTAATTATAGTGTAGTTGTTAAACATTATCGGGACGCAATTGTATGCTGCGATTTCACTACTGGTGTATACAGGTTTTTTGTGTCGACCATTTAAAATGTTGTTACTAAATTAGCCAGTTTATGTTTTCAACTATCATATACCTACCACGGGTTACCATACAGTTGAAATATTTCAACTCAATCGACGTGTGGTAACTGTGGTTACCCATATCACCACGTGTTTTAGAATAATATTTATAGTTATAGGATTTTAAATTATCAATACTGATTTTGATTTTTGTTCAGTTTTAGATTCTGAGTGTAGCGAAGTATGTATTGGTTTTACAATGATATTTATTTTTTTTATACTGTTACAAAAAATTCTACCAAAAATCTTGCTTCGATATGTAAGTGTAGCACCTTTTCTGAAATGTATAAAATAGATGTCAAATATTGTCTAGATCGTAAAAGGTCATTTTCTAGATTTTTCAAACGGTTTTCATTATATCTGGGAAAATTCCGGCTAAAACGGGAAATTTTACGAAAATAATATTTTTATTATTTTCAATTTTGTTTTTTGTTGAGAAGAATTTGCAGGAACTTTAAATTTAAACCAAAAAACTTATATTTATCTTTTCTTGACATGATACAATTTTCAGCAAATTTTAGCTATATATGGCCATTAATAAACATTTTCATTTTGCGAATTTTGTAAGTAATTTGTATTTAGTAGGTACTCTGTGAATACACTTGTAAGACTAAATAAAAATGCTTGGAAATTTAATTTGGAATAATAATTAAAATAATATGAAAAACCCATCGTTTTGCTTTTGAGAATATTATCTTCTTTTAATTTTATAATATGTGATTTTACTCTAAAACCAAAATTTAGTGAGTTCTACTCAGTCTGTGTAAAGTAGAATAAGTGTCTTGCGTTATGTTGATCAGCTGTATAAATTATACTTGTAGTATAAAACAATGCATTTCATGGTAGATAATAAAAGCCGAATTTGCCGAAAACTAAAGCAACAGTTTATGTAATATTTAAGTGCTCTAAATATTTCAGTCAAATTAATATATATAATTAATCTGTAAATCCGATCTTTGTATTTCAATATTTTTTTTTTTTAATATCAATTGTTTATACTAACATATTGTAATGTTTTGCCATGTGTTTTTTTTCTCTTTTACATATCAATTATACTAAATTCATTTCTGGTTATGACTATTTTAAATATATATATACTGTTGATATTTGATAAAAAAATGTCAATATTAAAAATATCTAAAAAAAAAAAAAATTAAAAATCAGAATTTTCAAAATCAAAATTGAAGATTTACATACAACAATTTTTGGATTTCGAAAAACCTGGATTCTCGGTCATTCCGGATTTTAAATCCCGTAATTTATTATCAGAAATTTCTTACCTGAACGACAGCCTTAAATATTGTCCATTGTATATTGGGAAACGAAAAACCTACTTAACAGGAATATTAAACTTCACCACTTATACTGTTGAGAAATAAACAATAGTACCTACGTATTTGTACGCGAGTAAATTTCAAACGAGATGAGTCTTTCAAAAACTTATATACTGTTGTGATAGACAACTGGAGTAATGGAGTGACTTTTGGCATAATATTATATGTTTCTGCTGCCCGTATCCTCTCCTACAATTTATAATAATTGATATTATTGTAATTACGCACTTAATAGTATTGTTGTTTACCGAAGAACACGGGCCGCAGTGAAAAATTATGCAAACATAGTAATTAATAATTAATAAGTAATTGATAATTGGATTATTAAGATATTATTACTACGTGATTTATTAATAATTTCGTTTTCTAATCATCTTGATGCTTATTATTTTACAACGTACAAAATGTACGATAATATAACGTCACAAAAGCATAACGTCGAAAATTGAAAGGCGGCGGAAGATTTTGAAAAAATATCCAAAAATCTGAATGGGTATCCGGGAAATTAAAATTAAAAGTTACTTAAAGTGCTGAGTTTTTTTTTTTTTTTTTTTTGTAACTTAGTTTTAGTTGTTATAACAATAGTTACTATCTAGTTACTCATAGAACATTGTAATCACATATAGAACTATCTAATGTAAATCTTGATAAAAAAAAAAGGAGTACATTAAGAGTAAAAGGGGTAAAGAAAAATTAATATATAAGGGTTTCAAGTACAATTTCGAAAAAATCGAAGACAAATGGGAAAATATGACTAGTACAAAAATATGCAATATAGAAGTCGTATCCATTGTGAAAATGTACAAATAATCGAAAAAATGACCCCTTCACTCATAATATACTCCATTTCTTTCTGTTAAGATTTACAGCATCGCACTATCTGCACTAATTCACTATACAAGACTTATATAATCTACGACTGTAGACGATCAGTTTTTATACTTATCAGAGACATTGTGAAAAACCGATTAATGTTAGAATGCCCTTGATAAACTATTCGACTTGTATACAAGTTATTAAAATATATTTAATCAAATATTAGAAAATCAATAAGATGGGTGTAACAATTAACTATTTAATTTTGTTAATAATAAAAAATTATTATTGTATTAATATAATATATTAGTTTAAACCAGAGAAAAGTCAATACAAAGCAATCATTTTTTTCGGCGAACAATTTGCAGCCGCCATCAATTGTTCGCGATCAATTCACCGCGATGCTCACTGTGTATATGCCAAGTAACCACGGAAAGCCAAAAACAGAATGTAGTAATTACATAAACAAAATTTCACAATAACCTCTGTGTTCGATAACTGAGTCCTATAAACGAAAAGTAACCAGTGGCGTAATTGTGAAGGGCAAGCCCTCTGATAATTTTATGTGGAGCAAAGTATTATTTTGTTCTCTCTGCTCCGATAAACCGACAATACAAATATTTGAATCATCATTAGTCTCAAAAAAAATATAATATTTTATTCAACATAACATATCATGACTTATCAATTTAAAATATTTTTCCTCGATTATTATTATTTATTATTTATTACTTGTTTATAGAATTATTTTATGGAAGTTAACGTTTATTTTAGAATTCTCTAGTTGTAAATGTTATCGCAATAATCACATTATTTGGGTTAGGAAAAAAAATAATCTAAAAATAAAAAATTATCATTATATGAAGTATGAATACAATATTATTATATTGACACTATGATTATGACTACAGTAAAGGGAAATTATATTTAGATTAACAACAATTTATACTCTGAAATCGTAAAGGTACTTGCTATTATTTAACAGTATTGGTGTACCTAGTACCTGCTATCTACAATTTGTTTCTAACTACATTCAAAACCGTAAAATGAGTTTTAATATTTGTGTAAAATCAAACAAATGTGTACAATGTAGAAAATACATACAATAAAAGTGTATTCAAACTGGAGGGGGGTTCAGGGTTTTAATCAAATAAATTTCGGTTATCGGTTAGGAATCTGACAAGAATTGGGGGCCCCATCGATCGCGAGGGTCCTGTAACGTACCCAAAATGTCCAATGGAAAGAAGAGCCTTGCTACACCCGTTCCCATTATCTAAGAACAACATTTTTATTTTGGTTGAACAAAGTAAAATAAAATATAAAATATACAAAATTATAGCACCAAAATGTCATAATAATTAAAAAAGAAATTTAAAAAACAAATTAGAAAAAAAGCTATGCTAGGATAACGGTGACGGGTGCAGACACTATTATAAGCCAGAAGTTGGGAAGGTAGTAGGGGGAAAATGTAATGTATACACGCAACGATAAACCATTGCTAACTATATAAAACTGCAAAACATTAATATCCGTGTACAACATGTTTAAGAGCCATATAGATTATAGAGCATACATATTATGTACAACGACGAGTTCATGAAGCCTTATAATCCCTTAAAATTGCGTCCAACACCTCGTGCCAACTGCCGTCACCGTGATTTGGAGCCACATGTTGGACGAGCTGTTTGGACGGCGATTTGAAATCGTACGCCCAGCCTATACAGCCGAAAAAGTCGAGCCACATGGTTGTCATGTTCAGCAAATATCCGCCGATTTCGGCCGCTCTGTAGTCATACGGGAAAACGTGGTGATAATTGTGCCACCCTTCCCCCAAGGCCACTATAGACACGAAAGAGTTTTGCACGGGCTGAATACGTCTGAAAAACACACACACAAAAAAAAAAAATCAAAACCTTCGTATGTTATACATAAAATTAATTACTTATAGTTTATACACTCACGTGTCGTATGGTTTGTTGCCCCAAATATGAGCGACGCTGTTTACAGACCACGTGAAATTCAAATTTAGCACGTACCGAACTATTGCCATTCCGAACACGGCTATATTCCAAGATTCGTTCCACAAAAACACCGGTACCATTATCGGCACAATGAACCCGGTGATCTCTAACCCAGTCCGGTATAGTGTTCTAAATGCGTAGATGTATTAATATATTATATTGATCTCATCGTATTATTTTTAATCGAAATCCATCCGATGTACCGTACCTGTCCTGATACCGTGTAACACGCCAAAAGTATAATTTGTAATGGCAATTTCGCTTTGAATGATCTATGCGTGTAATATCTATGCGCACCGCCCGTAACTCCAAACCCTCCAATACCGCCAATTATGAAACCTATAAATAAATGAGAATTATCAACAATAAATTGTACATTTTTTTACTTCCGTCATTTATAACCGTAGTTATAAAAATAAACAGTTGTGAAAATATGCTCGTGGACTAAACATATTTTAATAAATTGTTAAGTTGACAGTGATAATATTTAAAAAATAGAAACAATTATATCAGTTGGTAAGGTAAGAGCACGAATAACTCGAATATTTTTTCCCGTGTTAACTTCGAGCATTTTTCGCGTTTTATTATATTTTCAAATACCTGTGTATATATTTTAATTATTCGTAATCGTTGTGACGGATTAGAAGTTACTGTATTCATTCAAGCCCTTGGTGCAACATCCAGATAAATCAATTTATTTAGAAAATTGCACTTTTTTGAGGTTAATTTTTAAGTAAACCTTTGTCTATATTCAAGTGCAATTCAGGCTTAAAGCGGCACAAAATGGCGTAGGGTATTTTGTAAACTAAATTTTGTTTTCAATATTTCATGCATTTCCCGATCCCAATTCCTTTAATGATAACGATTTTTAATCGTGTTTAGATGTAGAAGTTCTTCCTTCCCCCACTCCTCTCTTTACTCCATGGTAAAAAGTCCGATGCATAAAATTAATAGCCATTCACATACCAAATATGTTATAGATATATACGTATAATAAATGTCAGTGGAACAGTGTTCTCAGACAATTCAAATTGTCTTTTTTTAGAATATTTTAGTGCGATCTATCAGATAAATCCATTAGGCTCCTTAATTAGAAAATAAACAATCGGATATAGATATTCCTGAACAAATTTCGAAGCAACTATCAAATTAAATCCGAAAACATAAAAAGTTTGTCATGAAGATTTTAAAATTGCGGGGTTATTGCACTGAGGTTGCTTATTATTAGTTAATAGATATCTATTTAATCATTTTTCTATATGAATATTAAATATATCGTTATTTCGTTCAATTAACAAACATTTTATAAGAAGTCAAATTATAAATTTATGGAAATAAATAAACCAAGGAAAATTATAAAATGTTTACAATATATATATATATATATATATGTATACTTTACGTTCTACGAATATACTAATATTACAAATTATTTCTATGTGCAATGGC